TTGCGTTACAAAGCTTAGTTATACCGAGGATTAGAGACATATATACGTGGCCAAAAAGAAACTCTTTTATCGAGTGGCTCTTTTCAACTTGTTTAAATTGTATATGTTCGTATTAATCTGATGGCAACGTGTCTTTGATAACTTTAATCATTGGACTCTTGAGAAAAATTTAGATTTTTTCCTGTCACAAACTTAAACTTCACTGTCGTAGTCGTAGAGTCACAAAACCATATATAAAAATGCTTTTATATATATATTCGCATATACGAAAAATGTAACAACCGCGAAAAGGAAGTAGTAGTGATGATAAGAGCAACCTCATTGCAGAGATTTAAGTTATATCTTAGCTAATTAATCAAAAAAATTTAAAGCAAAAACATAATTAATTACCAAGATATCGTATCTTGGAGAAGATATAGAAGAGAGGGTAAGATACAGCTACATGTCACGTTTCTATTGGTTAGAAGAAGAAATATAAAAAAAAAACAATAATTCATTTCTCATAGAAGAGAGGGTAAGATACAGATACGTGTATGTTTTAAAATTTTAATAATTCAATAATATTATTATGTTTTTAATAATTAAATTCTTATTATGTTTTGTATATTTTAAAGTTTTTATAATCCAATAATATTATTATGTTTTTAATAATTATTTTTTTTCCTAAAATACTATATTTAAGAACCTACCATTAATCAACCAAAAAAACATATAACAAGCAATCATATCTTATAGTCTCTACTAATTCAATTAATTAATAAACTACTCTTAAGATACCATAATTAAATCTCTGCAATGAGGTTGCTCTAATGTTGGAAAGCAGAGCGAGGACTGATGAAGCATGTGCATGAATATGTATACTGAAATAATATTATTAATTACCTTTTGAAAATAGACCATTCGATGGACCGTTATTTTTGTGTGGGGTGCCTATAAATATATATATATATATATATATATATATGTACATTTAAAAAAATATATATATGAGTCAAACTGCAAGAGAAACCCCAACTTGCACTAAAGGTCGAATAACGTGAGAATGTGACCGGACGTACAGCTTTCAGCTTAAAAAACTATCGAATTAATAACCAGAAAATGACTAAATATGATCAAATCTTAAAGTTTTAAGCAAAGTATTAAGAAAACAGTTATTGAGCAATAAAGATTATATATATATATATATGTATGTGTGTGTGGAGTTTAAAGTTTATAATTCAAAGAAATTGAACAACAAAAGACTTTTAACTGTTCCAATTATCTATCAGTAAAGAAAAAAACGTGTCAAATATTCATATTAAAAGACTCTTCTGTGGATAAAGTATAATATTATCCAAAAGTTGAAAAATAAATATCCAAAATAGTTATGAGATATTTTTTTTTTTTGTTTTTATCGTTGCTTTACATAATTTTCTCTACGTTAACTTTAGTTATTCCTAACTATATATTCAAATGCTACATTTTTAATTAAGTAAATCATTTTTTATATAAATTCTATCGCCTAATCCTATCAGCTCTAGTAAAAGTGCAGCAAAATACTTAAGAGTGGATTTTTTTTTCAAAATCACATTGTTTCTCTTGGGTTTGAAATGCTCTCTAACTAATTAATGTCAAAGAATAATTAAACGGTATACATTTTAGACTACCAAATAAATTAATTGAGCCAAAATCCAATTAATAGATTTCCCATACAAGTACACAACAATAATTTTGTGTTGTAATCTAAGTTAGTTTCGTCCAACTTTTCCCTAAATTTTCCTTACCACTAAACCTGTGCGGGGAAGTAAGTCATTTTCTTTAAGAACAAAACGTTTATAAAGATTTATAACTTCGATTTATAAGTAAAATGAGAAAATAGCTGACGGGTGACGGCATCTAAATGATACGTACGTGGAGAGCTAGGGTGCATGGAGATGAAGTAATATGGGATGACGTGGGTTTTCATATATCCTCTCCTTTTTTTGGGTTAAGTTTTCGGACAAAGATTGTTTTTCTTGACAAAGATTTTTGTCGCTCTCTCTCTCCCTTTCTCCCCATGCATTTCCAAAAACGACACCCACCAAAGATTCCGTTGCCCCCTTTTTCTATTCCATTGCGCCTACACAAACACGTAACACTATTCAACTTCATATTTTCTTTTCCTTCCTGATGATAAGATTTTTAGGTATACAAAGATAATATTGCATCTCAACAGCTGAATTTGATCAGTATATATAATACATTAATTTAGAATATTCAGAATTTGGATGCATGCTTTCACAGTTTCACCCCTATAGTAGCTCAACCGGTGTTTTTTTTTGGCCTTTCAAAAGAGGAAAAGTTGTAATCAGTTCGAATTCTCTATAGAAGAAATTAAAGTACTAAATTTCTTTATCTTATTATTGTTTTCGATCGGTTAGATCTAAGTTCTAACAAAGAGTATCCCCAAATGACTTTGCCTGAGGCCAGAGAGTATATATCCCGAAATGACATAGTTCTTTGGCCAAATGGTTACCGCATTTGCTATGTCTATCCTCGCATTTAGGGTTTCCTTTTGTGCGACTAAAATGAAGACAGAAACTTGTATACATATATACTATTGACATGTACAAAACAAAACAGAAATAAAATTTATCTCAGCAATCTATGAAGCCTTATTATGTATTCTAATTACATGGAAAACAGAGATTAAAATTATATATAAAAGGTAATTAATACTATAAAAACTTATTAAACTTCTCCAAATACTATGTATTTTCTAAACTACTGTCAAATCTTTTTAAATCCAAATAAAAAGTTAAGATGAATTTTTTTCCTAAAACTAAAATTCAGAATAATTTCATTGTTTACCAGTATTAATCTTGTGGAAGTTAATTTAGAAGAAATTATTTTTATTTAAATAAATAAATCTAAATCGTATGTTAATGGATTTATATATGGTTGTCTAAAATCTATTTTTAGTGTGTGTACATTGTATCTGTACTTGTGAGTTATTCGTCACTATCCATATAGTAGACTATAAGATTTCGTGTACTCTGCAATTTGAGACGGCGCAGGAAAATTTATAATTTTTATTGAGAACGTAACCAAAAATATATATACATATTTAATTATTTGGTGGCAGCAAATTTAAAAACAAAAAACAAATACCACATATATTTTATCCCCATTTACATATATATATATGTACATTGAAATTTATATTTGATTGAATTTAAACGGGTTTGTTCAGTTCTCTTGCTATCTTGATGATATTATTTGTTTACAATATGAAGAAAATGGGTTGAATACAAAACCGAGAGAATGCATTATACGAATTAAAACTCCAAAAAAATGTTAAATGTAAAAGATATATACATGTCTAATTAAGAACTGCAGTGTTCTAATTTTATAAAACGCTCTCATTTGGTAAGAATTAAGTATATAAAATTACATATTAAATCTGTAAAATCCTTGGTTGTATGCGACCCAACCTAACCCCATATACTATCACGTGGCTCATGACCTCATTCAAAAGCCTAATCAAAATATGACGGCACGGATTTTGACGACTAGCTACTTCACTTCTACTTTGTACGTACTTATCAGGTAGTTGTAGCATAATATAGTATGACACAATAAATCTTATACATGAAAACAATCTGAGCTACTGACTTGACTTAGAACGGAGGAAAAGTCAGGATGTCATAAGACTAATCCATGTGAATGGATCAAGTTTTTCGTCTAGGTTTTTTAGTTTTTAAAGGATTTGTTTGTTGATGTCAAACAAAGAGAAGAAGAAGGACTTTTTTTGTTTTAAATAATCCAAATAAATAAAATTTGGTTGCTAATTGTATGGATGTTGGTAATTTTAAACTTTGCAAAACATTTTTTTGCCAAGTTAGTAATGTTATATCTCAAAAACTGAAACGAAAAACGTGTAAGTTTATTAGACACAATACATAGATATCATAGCCGGTGAAAAGGGATACTAGAATGGCCACAAGATGAGGAAAGTGACAAACACTATGGAGTTCATGTTCATATTTCAAGTGCAAGATATTGAGTTTAACATATGAACATCGTTGATGATTAATTAGAGTTTATGATTATATGAATTGTGAAAGACTACGCAGCCTTTGATGCTACTTGCAGAAGCTGATCAAGTCATGGGAACACACTGTCCCATTTTATAAGTTTCACGTGATTTTCATGCAGCCTACAATTTATGTACACGTCGATATTAAAATCTTGAGTGGGCACATGCTCGCGTTACGTGTACGCTCGTATGCAAATGGATATGCATGTTCGTGTTAGATATCGAGAAAGAAACCCTAGATTTCTGTCGGATTTTTCGGAGGCATCTTATTCTTTTAAATTATTTTTTTGATAAGGAATATGCTTAATTTGGCCGATAAATATCTGTCGGAGATGTATCATTCGTGGACGGCAGGGCGAATATATTGTCTACAAAATCTAGTTTATATTCCAACATTAGATTAAAACATGTACTATCTTAACATCATCACCATGCTTTTTGTTCGGACAGCTACCGTGTTTTTAACCTTGATATGTGAAATCATAAAAAAAAAACAATGTTTGTAAATTCGATTCTGATAGTAAATCAGATTATTTTCCGGTTCACCGCATCAATATATTAATAACCTTTTAAATATTGTATATATATATAAAATTTTAAAATATAATCGATGTTTTTATGTTATACAGTATATGATTATATATCCATGTTTTTTAAATAAAATGTCTAAACAAGAATTATAAAGTGGCTGCACATTGTGAATCCAAATTAAAGCAGAAGACTTTTTTTGAGAAAAATGTAAACTAATAGTAATAGAGATAGTAAAAAAGAAAAAAATTACGATACTAATAATATATAGCTAACAGTGAAAATAAACTTAATACTGCATCACATTAACCAAACAATAATGCTCATTTTCTTTAGGCGGCATTAGTCGAATTCATCAAATTCTAGATAATTACAAATGATAAAGTTTACTAAATATATATATATACAACTAAAAGATACATCTGAAAACTAATCTAATATTTCAAACACGATTTGTTTAATAAGTAACAAAAGGTACTGTACATCACTCCATCAGAAATAAAAGTTGCTTCGGAAACCAAAAGAAAAAGGCCCACTAACTCAATAGTCTGGGTTACATTGGGCCGTGAAAGACGAGCTCATTTACTAAATGGTCTTGCTCCCAAACAAAACAAGTTGAATAGGCTACAAGAAATGCAGTGCTGAGTGCTGGAAGAAATAAGTTTCTCTGAACTGAAACTGTAATCCATTATTTCCCATCAAAAGTTAAGCTCACAAGAAAGTCCTGGAATGATCAAACAAATCTTAAGTACAGAGATGATTATGAAGAAAGTAACCAAAAAAGAAAATTTTTAAATTTTTTGATTCTTTAATTATGTAATAGCTGAGTCTGCCTCTATTAATCACAGGGTTATGATGCAGCCTAAATATGGGGCCTGGAAATGCTCACCACACACCTTTCACGTTCCATTTTACGTACTCAAATACATCATATGACCCATTACAAACCCTACTATATAGCAAAGAAACCAAAAATTGGAATAGAAGGATAATTCGATCTATCTATTATGGCGTTAAGAGAGATGATAATAGATGAGAGTGATGACATAGAGAGCTACAGTGACCAATCTCTTTGCCTAGACAAAGCCAAGGAGCTTCTTGCTCTCATCAATCTACCCACGGGATTGTTGCCACTGAAGGATATGACCGAAGTTGGTTACAACAAAACCAAAGGGTTTGTGTGGATGAGGATGAAAAGCAAGATTGAGCATACATTTCCTGAAATAGGTCGCAGAGTGTTATATGACACGGAGATAACTGCGTTTGTTGAGGACCGTCGTATGAAGAGACTTACAGGAGTCAAAAGCAAGGAGCTTATGATCTGGGTTCCTGTGAATGATATCTTTATCAGGGAGAAAGATCCTCAGAAGATCACCTTTGCTAATACCACCGGCCTATCACGAACATTTAAAGTTTCAGCATTTCAATGTGAAGGTTGATAAATCAGAAGAAAAGAGGAGCAATCAAACTTCCTCGATGTAAGCAACCAATAAAGAACAAAACTTGTTCCATATTCAATAAGAGAGAGTGTATCAGATACCATAAAGACAAGCCTTTCTTAAAGTGAATTGCTTATGGAACATAACGCTAAATGTACAAGTTCTGAAGATCATGCCTTGATGTAACAGTGAGTTTCTAATCAACATATTAGAATCGATTCACTGGCAGAAGATGTGTGTTATGTTTTCTATCTTTAAGCCAATACATTATTTCACATAAAAAAGGAAAGACACAGACTACATCTAAACAATCAGATGCATCAAACAACCAACAAGAACAATATATGTGAACTAAAAACAAAATGAGATGCAAAGATGCAAAGTTCAAACAGCTTGAACATCCTAGGATTCTAGCTAAAGAAAGAACTCAGAAATCTGCTGAAGGAAATTTATCAACTAAGGCAAACAACACATAATGAATAAGCACATTTCCAAAGTTTTTCACATAACCTACGTCAGGAAAGACGCACATCTGGGAAAATATCTCTGAAGTGAAACAATGTATAGAGTTAGATTACCAAGTTCACAATGCTTTGCTGGGTAAGGAGCCAGATCCATAATCAGAGCCTCTAGCGAAGAAGGGGATCAAAAATGAAACTGCCCGTTAAAGCTTTCAGTCTCTCTGGTGTATCAAGATCATTGTACCAAACCACCAAAAAAGGAGGTAACTGTAAATAATTATGTTGGTGACTCTATTGTCTCCAACCCATCGTCTGCTTCTGTTTTACTTCCATACTTTGATCCCCAAGCACCAAGAGTCTTGAAATCCCACACAACCTCTGAAATTTCATCCTGAGGCAAGGTTAGACCCTCACGTTTTATTGACCTATGCAGCTCACAGAAGAATTTAGGGTCTTGTAGTCTGATGTACTCCTGCAAAAGTTGCTCATGGTTTGGGATCCAGTTTCTAGGGAATGGAGTATAATCACAGGAAGGAATCAAAGACATGCGAGAGAATTGAACTCCTTCTATAGCATCGACAAGTCCCATCCTCAGTAGATCAGAGTATTCAGGTGCAGAATTATTACTACTCTCGCTTAATGGATGGCTAAGATCCCGTGAGGCAATGCTGTACACTTTGGCACGAGATTTCAGTCTATACCTTGCAGCGTATAGTTTAGCCAAAGAGCTTCTTATTACATAAGCACAGAACCCAACAGCCTTCTTGCGATTGTCAGCATATTTATACCAATCAGCCATTGTTTCGAGAAACTTATTCATCTGAGAGTTACTATGAGACTGGCTTGAATAAAGCATTGGGTTACACGGTAAAGGCTCGGGATCTTTATCACCTTTAACAAACGCAAGCCGTCTAAATTGGCGGATACATTGTTCTAAACTAGCAGACACAGATAGTAACGTTCCCACACCCTTTTTGCTCACAATGCTGCCTCCACTTCCTGTGTAGCGGAGGGTAGGGTATATAACTCTTCGGCAAATTATGTGGTCAAGAAATTGAATGCCCCTGCTTATATGTTCAATCTCTAACTTTGAATTATCCAATCTCAAACCGAAAGCCTTATCACAAAACTCAATGATTTCCTTCCGGATCTTTACTGCATCCTCTCTAGGCCCTCTAATGCCAATAAGAAAATGGCCCCCATACCTAATGTAATCCATTTTCCTAGTTTTCTCTTTCCCACTTGATGGAACAAACTCTGGCCAGGCTGGGTTATGACAACCATCTTCAATAGACTCCTTCCATATTGAATCGTCTTTACAAGGTCTAAAATACTCAACTATCTTCGTTTCCATAAATCGATCCAGCTCATTAAGACAAACATTAGCAAGCAAAGGACTCAATATGCCACAGTAGCCATAAGAAGGCACCTTTGCAGCTTCCTTAGGAGCAAAACTGTAGAAAGTCCTCAGCCAATAAGGATCCGGTTTCGGCTCATCCTCATTCAAAATCTTCTTCTTCGTCTTGTTTCGCTTTTCACGTTCGATCCTCCTTTTCGCCCCCAATCCATTGTCATTGTCATTTTTCTCGACAACTCGCTTTAACACTCTCTTATCGGGCAATTTCAAAGAAGATTGAATCAAGCCGAGAACTTTCCTATCCTTGACAACCTTTTGAATACAATTCATCACTACATCTACATCCACATGATCCAACAGTTCACTAACATCACCTTTCATAAACCACAAGTACCCAGCAAAATTACTTCTGATAGTTCTAATCACAGTATGCGGATTTCTACCTGGTCTAAACCCATGAGACTTACTTGAGAACCTAGCTTCAAAGAAAGGTTCAAGAATCATCAATAAAACCTCATGAACCACCCGATCCTGAAAAATCGGTTCTTCCGACTCAATTATCCTCTTCATCTTCCCTTTCGACATACCCTCTACACCATTTGTCGAGATTTTATCATTAGGACTCCTCACGTACTGATTCATCTTATCGTTCCACCTGAACTTGCCACCAGAACGCGTGACGGCGTTTTGAAGGGAGAGAAGCGAGCGGAGAGCGTTGGCATGAATGGCATTGCGCGGCGGGAAAGTCCCGGTGACGTGAGCACAAGTGCGTTGATAAGCTAAGACCCATAAATCGAATTTGGAGAGGAAACCAGTGAGGTTCGAAAAAGTAGCAGAAGGAGGAGAAGAGAATGATTTGACCCAAAGGGAAAGACATATATCGACGGGATCTTGCTTGAGTAGTGAATACAGGTCTTGGGTCGAAGAAGGTTCTGGTGATTCGGGTTTGCGAAGATTTGGTGAGATTGAAAGAGAAGAGATGGATTTGAGGAAAGAGTTGCAGTGAAAGTGTTCGACGATATTCCTCACCGAAGTGAAAGGATACGTCAGTCGTCTCATTCTCGACACTCTGAGTTGAGTGCGGACGGGGTGAATTTTAAGTAAAAATTAATAGTTCCCATTTCTGCCCCATGAGTTTGCTATAACTACGTAACAAGCACTAATATTTTTAAAATTAATAAATACACCCCTACATAGTGTAATTCCAAATTAGAAACGAATTAATAATGTTTGACGAAGAAAGAATTGAGTACCAACAACGAAGAAAGGAATTGGAAGCTAGTGTTGTTGGGTCGGTCAATGCTTCTTAAGAAGCTGCCGTAATATTTTCAGAGAAGACTTCTCTCTGCGTTTTTCTCAATTTTGTTTTCTTTAGCTGTGAAGAAATAGGATCTGATCCCGACGAAATCTCGTTTTATTCTCCGGTCATTTCCTCCCGTTTAGATCGGGGGGGCAGAAAGGTTCCGAACCCTAAGCCGATCTGAATATGTCGAAATCTCTACCATATTCAGTGAAAGATATTCATTACGACAATGCCAAGTTCAGACATCGATCTCCTTTAAAGGTTAGATCTTGTGTGATATGGGTTCTGTCCAAGTTTTTTCCTTTTTTCTTTGTTTTGATTAATACATGTTTTTAGATGGATTTAAATTCAGTAGTACTTGCTTCTGGTTTGGCTTTTGGCTTTTACATGAATTGCTTTTGTGTCGAAATTGGCCTGGGAAATACGAAATTACCAGATAGCTTACAAGAATTTAGCGTAGCCCTTAATATGCAAACTCAAAGCTAGATCTTGAAATGCCGCAAAAGCTTCGGTTTTTAGATATAGGTTGTATGCTTTTAGGTCCCAAGCCTTAAATTTTTGTAGTCTCTTTTAATTTCTCTTGGCAAGTCTTTACATTTCTGGATCAAAGATCTTTTAAGTTAAAAGGCTTCTCCTTTTTCTTACGGTTTGACCAAAAGCCATACACTTTTTGATCTAACCCCAGTTTTAAAATCATGTTTTGTTTGGGTTTTTAGTGTACAGTCTCTAGCTTTAGATAAAAGTGTTAGGCTTCTTGGTGTGACACTCCTGAAAATTGTATTAACCGGTTTAGTTCAATATAAAGGGAGCAATCAAAAGGTATGCTTAGAAGCAGAAAGTGCCATGAATCTAGTAATGGGATGACCTCAAGCTTCTGGTTGTATGTGTTTTTGAAATTTGATATAATTTCTCTCTTTCCTGCTTTTCTTTTGACATATGCAGTATCTTCTTTGTTTTGGGTTTTAGGTTCTTTCTCAAAGCTTGCTTACGCTTAACACAAAACGCAACTACGCAAGCTGTAGCACAGGGAAGTTCCTAATATTAATATTGGTCTTTGGACTAGTATGTCTAATGTTGATGAGTAAGAGTCCAAATGAGTCTGCTCTGAATGAAAAAGGAAAGGTCACTTTTGTTGGGGGACTTAGGTTAGGGAGACTTTTGAGAAAGCCGCCTAGGCTTCCACCTCGATTATCACCGGATGAAGGACAATTAAGGGGTAGTTCCACTAATGGCTCGACAATTTCAATTTCCGACCCAAAGTGGGCAGCCAGACAGCAAAGTGTGAAGGATGCTTTTGATCATGCATGGTCTGGCTATAGAAAGTACGCCATGGGTTATGACGAGCTTATGCCTATCAGCCAGAAAGGTGTGGATGGCTTAGGGGGACTGGGTGCCACAGTGGTGGATGCTCTTGATACAGCCATGATAATGGGTCTTGACAATGTCGTTTCTGAAGCAGGATCATGGGTTGAGACTCATCTCTTAGAGAGAATCAGTCAAAAGGGTCAAGTTAATTTGTTTGAAACCACCATACGTGTCTTGGGTGGGCTTCTAAGTGCATACCATCTGAGTGGAGGAGAGCAGGGTACGATGAACATGACTCATAATGGACCGAAGCCAGCTATCTATCTAAATATTGCTAAGGATTTGGCTGACCGTCTGCTTTCGGCTTTTACCTCCAGCCCTACTCCAGTTCCCTTTTGTGATGTCATATTGCATGAATCGACTGCTCATCCAGCTCCAGGAGGAGCAAGCAGTACAGCAGAAGTTGCCTCTGTACAGCTTGAATTTAATTACCTCAGTGCTATTTCTGGTGATCCTAAATATAGTACAGAGGCCATGAAGGTCTTAGCTCATATCAAAACTCTTCCAAAGACGGAAGGTCTTGTTCCAATCTACATCAGGTAAATACCATGACTAGTGCTAATTTTCCGTTGCTTTCCTGGGCACTTTTGATCTGACATGTTGTTTCTACCTTGAATGCAGCTCTCAAACAGGTGAATTTGTTGGTGAGAATATCAGGTTGGGATCTCGTGGTGATAGCTACTATGAGTATTTAATCAAGGTGTGGCTTCAGCAAGGAACTAAGGTCAACAGTAATTTCACATATTTACATGATATGTACATTGAGGCAATGAAAGGAGTCAGGCATTTGCTTGTGCGTAATTCAATTCCGAAAGGTCTCGTCTTTGTGGGGGAGTTACCTTACGGATCCAAGGGAGAGTTCAGTCCAAAAATGGACCATCTTGTAAGCGTCACTAGCTACATAGTATTATGCTGTTGTCATTCGCAGAGAGATTTTACGATGTTTGTTGTTCGTGACTTTTGATTCATTCAATTGTTTTTTTTTAGGTATGCTTCTTGCCTGGTACTCTTGCTCTCGGTGCTACCAAGGGACTGACAAAGGAACAAGCCCTGAAGGAAAATCTTTTATCCTTTGAGGACCTAGAGAATTTGAAACTTGCAGAAGATTTAGCGAAAACATGCTTTGAGATGTATGAAGTAACTGCCACTGGCCTTGCTCCAGAAATTGCTTACTTTCATACAGCTGTAAGTATTCCAAAACAATAACCTTTGCTTTTGCATGTCAACCTTGGTCGCTCGTTTTGATTTTTGTTTTGATTCTTGGATTCTAATAAGCAGGAGTACTCTGAGGATGGTCTTGAAGGTGGGAATAAGAGCTCAGTGTATGCAAATGACATAATTATAAAGCACGCTGATCGACATAATCTACTGCGCCCTGAAACTGTTGAATCACTCTTTGTCCTCTATCGTATCACAAAAGATACTAAGTATGAAAACTCTTCATCTGATTTTCCCTCATTATCTGAATTCTTGGAGATAATTTTACTCTTAAAGCTAACACGTTTCTAAAATTGCAGATACCGAGATCAAGGTTGGCAAATCTTTGAAGCATTTGAAAAGTACACGAAGGTGAAATCAGGTGGATACACATCATTAGATGATGTAACAGAAGTGCCGCCGCATAGGAGAGATAAGATGGAGACATTTTTCCTCGGTGAAACATTGAAATACTTATACTTGCTTTTTGGAGATGACTCGGTGATACCATTGGATAAGTTTGTCTTCAACACTGAAGCTCATCCATTGCCTATAAGAAACACCTAAAGGATTAGTTTTGAAGACTGCTCCAAACAATACACACACACACTTACACAAACTGAAGAGAGGGTATGGAGAAAGTGATGTATAGTACAGTGCCCATTGGAGAAGAGGTTAGTTCGTTGAGGTAAGAGCGTAAGATAAGTTGCAGCATCCAAATTATATAATTTAACTCGAAAGTTTTTGTTGTAATAGTAGGTTTCTTGAGATTAACACTCTTTCCTTCGAGCTCTCACTTGGCAAATTGTAATCAGATACTATAGAGATGAGTTGTGGTTTTAGTTTTTTTTAATACATACATTTACTATGCAAATTGCAAAATATGTCATAAAGTCCTTCTAGCTCTTTCTCATGTGACTCGTAAACCTTGAAATTTGAGATCATTTGGTTCTTTTAGAACTTTGTAATCTGCAAAGCTTTGCATAGAACCATAATCGAATTATAATTATGTTATAAAAGACCAAATTAGGCACGCGCACAAAATATATTTTTGTAAATCTCAAAATTCATAACTTGAGAAAGGGCGACAAGAACCTGTATGAGTTACACATATAAGTTTAGTGGTCAACAAAAAACAAGAGACACAAGGAGGCATCAATAACCACAAAACTGAAACCACAAGAACCCTCAGTAACTGAATATGACACCATTGAGACTAGGCTGCTGAGCACAAGGGAAGGGGGTTTAACAAATGTGGTTGCACCTGACTATCTCAATCAAGCCTTTGCTTTTCCTGCCTGGATCGATTGTAGCCTTTGTTGTAACTTCATTATCTGCAAAAATTTCGATTGCATTAATTGAAACCATAGGATAATTATCACCATTTTAAACCAAGAAAGTTAAGAAACAAGTTTCATTTATCCATGGGACCATATTCTCTCAAACAGCAAATTCTCAGATCGTGCCAAGGCCACTCAGCAAAACAGAGGAAAGAACAATATTCAACTATTTACTTCCAGCGCAGGCTTAGACTGACAACAAAGCAATCTATCAAAGTATATTTCCAGAGCTTCGAAAAGTGAACAGGAATATTTGGATTATTATTGGTGTAGCGGTGCTAGCATCACTACTTTGATGCACTCAAACTAAGTATATAATGCATGAGAGGTAGGTGTCTTACCGTTTCTCTCTTGTTGTTTTGTTTTTCTTCCATATCTTGAAGAATTGCATCAAGCCGTTTCCTGCAATGGATATAACATTATTCTTGAGTTCATGACCTTATAAGCTCAAAACAGTTGATCAACCTTCCTCATAGTTGTTTAGACAAGCTAAAAGGGACAACATGTTTTTCTTACACAAGTGCTACCCCGGCATACCCACATTCTAACACGCTTACTTATCATCCACAGCATTCACTCACTATCAGCTTAGAATGAACGCTTCTTGTGATAACAACATAAAAGGTTATGTATCTTCAAACTAGATTCTCAATTAACTGCATTTGCTTCAAAAAATCACAGTAAAAGAAAAAAAGAAACTCACAATTCAGCAGAGATGTACTCAATTCGTTTACGAACATTAGCATTTGCTTCAGCCAAATCCTGCTTCACTAGTACCGGACCAATCAATTTGTAGACATTTGCATCTTCTTCCAGCAAATCCAACTCCTGTATATACAAGACATACACACAAAAAGATGCATACGGTGAAACAAGAAAGAAAAGCCAAGCAATGCAATATATAAATCTCTCTTTCAACTCCAGAAATAAGAAATTTCCACCATGTCAGTAACCTAGAGAAAACAGTGGAGACATATACCTTAAGCACGAGCTCATTCTCACCGAGTTGGATCGTATACTTCTTCCTCAGCTGGTGATTCTTCGCGATATCTGGAAATATGAACACAGTAAAGTAGGGTTTCCCGCCTCCAGAATCACATCGAGAAAGGTGAAAAGAATTTCAGAAACTTGCCTTTCTGAATTTTGCCGAGATCATTGGCCTTGTTTTCTAAGTCTCTCTGCAAATCTCGAACAGCCGTCGATGAACTCATCTTCGTCGTTTGTCGTCGTCGTCGTCGTCTTCTTCCTCACTCCGGTGATTTATTTTGTAAAGAGGTCTCGAAGTCGCAGATCCATCAAAGAACAGCAAAACGCCGTTAAAGTTACTGTGTTTTAGTAAGGCTCAAGCCCGTTAAAATTAACTTGGACTTTTAACGGCCCAATGTGCTTTTTTAAGCATTAACTAGTCAAAACTGATGAAACTACAGTATAAGCGACGATAACAAAAATCAAACCATAAGTCCATAACTAATTTAAAGTAAAGTATTAAATAACATTAAAATTCGGACAATTTTCAAAGTAGCACTAATTTTAAAAAAAAAATCCAAATTTAACACACACTTTCCTATTTTCCAAAATTAGTATCATATTTCAAAACTAAAATTTCAAAATTGTATCTTAAACTCTAACTAATAAACCCTACACCCTAAAAACTATACCCTAAATGTAATGCAAACACGTACATGCCAAATCCGGATGTATGTGAATGTGAGCCTCAAGAAGAAAAAGCATGGCATTTAAGAGTTCATTGAGAAACATTATCACTTAAATGCGATTAAATATGAACAATACAAAACTTCTCAAGTTGTTTTGGAGGTTTAGTTGATAACATACTGTAGGTTATCATCAAACCTCAATACAGAACTGAGCAAGGAACATACTAACTCGGCTAGTTGGAGATATCGCGGATAATCAAAGCCGTAAATTTTGTTTATTATTATTATTATTAGTTCGAATATTTAGCATAATTATTAAAAAGACTGTACCAGCATTTTTTCCTAATAATTTTTTTAAAGTTCACTAATTGAATATTCCTCCTTAGTGTATTTGTAAAATGTAATTTGTTCCATTTACTCATCATAGAGAGAAATCTAATTACATAAAATAAATAACAATATATAAAATAATTTACATAAACTCTCAACAGTGAAAATAGTTCTCACAAACACAAATCTTGACTTTTCTTGCCTCTGTACCTCAATCTAAAATAGTGAAAAGCTGAAGATTTTTAAAGAGACAAATTTTGTTTGTTGGTGTCAAACTAATAATTCACTCCACAACCTAAAAGAAAAATAGAGTTGGATTAGAAAGTAAAGTCTGCCACTTTGATATCATCACATCTTACACAGATCCAAATAAGGGGAAAGATAAAGAGAGCATAGGTGTAAAAACTTTTTCCATCGTGGCTCTGGCTCATCATCTAGATAACAATTATATATGTTTGATTAATTTTAAGTATTTAACTAACAAAGACATTGTAAATTAGAGGTGAAAGAAAGAAACATTTCTTACCCTATGCATTTACTTTATTTTTTGTTATGCGTGCATGGAGTTTTGTCTAAATATCTGTAAACAGCTTTAAATATAGTGGAAAATTAAATGTGATTTTTTTTATAAAAAAAAAATAAGAGAAAAAAGAGACAAGGAGTGAGGAATCTTGGATAAAAGGACACTACCCTTCCCTGTCTTTGCTCGCTGCCCGAAAAGAACATACAGAAAACACTTCTTTTACATTTCACACTTACAGTGAGAGAGAGAGAGAGAGAAGAGGAGAGCATTAGAGGTAGAAGAAGCAAAAGAGAGAGATAATGGCTCTGAACTCCTTTGCTGGATGCAGATGGGGTTCCATTTTCATGTTTCTGTTTAGTCTCTCCATCGCCGTCTTAGTCACCGTCGCCGTGGCCGACGACGACAAGGCTCCGCCGGTCGCTGATGGTACGCTTTCCCACTGACCCTTTTTTTTTTTATCTTTTTGGTATTTTGTCTGATGGGTTTTTCTTAGATGCCATCTAATAATCTTGTGCCAATCAAGATTTGATTTTCTTGAATCCGCTGTTCATAAAACAGAGAACCAAAAGAGATTTACTTTCATAATATTCATTTTGGATAAACAAAACATTATACCATTTGTCTGGATTTAGAGAGTTTAGGTGTTAAGGGTTTTCCACTTATTGTGTATTTTATAAGCTATAAACATGTTTCATTCTCTATCTATAAATAATTAAACAGTGCTAATAGAACCAGTAATATTATTTATCTAGCTAAAAGGTTCTCTCATACTCAGGGGGAAACTTGTCAATTTCAATTTAATCCGTCACAATAGAAAGAATGTAAGTTTCTGGGGTTTATTTGTCAATTAATTATAATGTGTATCTTATTCGTGCTTTCGGCGGCGGCAATATTAGAAAGTGAAGCCCTTCACCTTACAAGACACAAGTTACAACACAACTACATTTTTAGTTTAAACAACTAATTCACATTAGCAACTTTACTTTTGTAAATTTTGATAAATAGGTCTCTCTAGATCCGTGAAAAATATATAATAGAAGGGTTCCCGCCAAATTTGGGTAGTACCGTCGTAATATTATATGAAACGACAAAGAGTCCTCGGTAAAACGACATCCCAAGTGTCTGAAAACTTCTTGAGTTTTTCAACACGCTTTCTTTTTTTTTTTTTTTTTCTTTCCACCGCAAAATACAATTGTCTCTCTAGTACTTCCCCCTTATTACAAGGTGTAAAACTGTGACTGTAGAGTGTAGTACAACTAGAAATAACCAAAACTCTTTTTCAAGTAATGGTCAAAAAAGTCTCTTCAAACTTTTATGGTCCTACTAGGCCATATTAGAGTTTATTATGTTACGATACGATCATGTAAAAATTTAAAGTGCTTTGTCGAATCAAACTACTATGTGTTTCGAGAAAAGACAAATAAATGTCTCCTTTTCACACAGCTAGCTAACGTGATCATTTGGCGTTTCTGAAGAGTTTTTTTTTGTCTATCCAATGTAAACTTGTGTTAATAATTAATTGTATGACCTAATAGGTTTGGTGATTAACGGCGACTTCGAAACATCACCGTCAAATGGCTTCCCAGACGACGGGGTAACCGACGGAGCATCCATGATTCCAAGCTGGAAATCAAACGGCACGGTTGAGCTAATTAGTTCCGGTCAAAAACAAGGCGGGATGATCCTAATCGTACCACAAGGCCGCCACGCCGTCAGATTAGGGAACGATGCGGAGATCAGCCAAGATCTAACGGTTGAGAAAGGTTTCGTCTACTCGGTCACGTTCAGCGCTGCCCGCACGTGCGCGCAACTCGAGTCAATTAATGTGTCGGTAGCATCTGTGAACGCGGACGCTGATGATATGGTCGCGTCTCGGAACGTGGATTTGCAAACGCTTTATAGCGTTCAGGGTTGGGATCCTTACGCGTGGGCGTTTGAAGCTGAGGAGGATCATGTTCGTTTGGTTTTTAAGAATCCTGGTATGGAAGATGACCCGACTTGTGGTCCTATCATCGATGATATTGCCATTAAGAAGCTCTTCTCTCCTGATAAACCCAAAGGTATATTTATCTACTTTTCCACTTTTGACCCCAAATTTCTAAACATTACAAATTCAACCTTTATTTTTTTATTTATTTTTTGGTTACGTTTTGCAGATAACGCGGTGATTAATGGAGATTTCGAAGAAGGTCCATGGATGTTCAGGAACACGTCTCTTGGTGTCCTGCTTCCGACAAACCTCGACGAAGAGATATCTTCTCTTCCGGGTTGGACTGTTGAATCGAACCGTGCGGTCCGGTTTGTTGACTCGGATCACTTCTCTGTTCCAGGTGGTAAAAGAGCTGTCGAGCTTCTCTCGGGTAAAGAAGGCATTATTTCACAAATGGTCGAGACCAAAGCAGATAAGCCCTACTTATTGTCATTCTCTCTCGGCCACGCCGGTGATAAATGTAAAGAGCCGTTGGCTATAATGGCGTTCGCAGGCGATCAGGCGCAGAACTTTCATTACATGGCGCAAGCGAACTCGAGTTTCGTAAAGGTTGGTTTGAATTTCACTGCTAAGGCTGATCGAACCAGAGTGGCATTCTACAGTGTTTATTACAACACGAGGACTGATGATATGAGCTCCTTGTGTGGACCTGTGGTCGATGACGTTAGAGTTTGGTTCTCCGCCGGGTCGAAGATCAATGGAGCTGGATTCGGATTGTGGCTTTCGGTTTTGGTTCTCTTGGCGATCGGTTTGTTTTAAAGTAGAGTCATTCAAGTTCAAGGTTTAGCTGTTTTATTCTAGTGTACCAAGAAAATGTTATTGCAGACCAAGAATTCTGTATGGTTTATCGATTAAGGTTAAAGCGATTTCGATGGTATTTATCGTTTTAATGCAAAAGCATCTTCAAATAACGAGATATTGATAAGCTTTCGAGTATTGTGATAGATAAATTCAGAAATCTATTATTACCAACATCAATTCAAAACCGAACCTGATTTACACATATTTCGGTTTGGTTTGGTACACGGATAATAGGTTTTGTAAATTTGTCCACTTTAAACGACATCGTTGCGTTGAAAGTCTCCTTAAGTAGTGAAATCTGAAAAAGATTTACATTGCTTCTTTCTCGGCCGCCGTTGTCGTCGTCGTCTGCGATTCGTAAATCTTAATAGTTTATCTGGAATTATTAGCGGATGTTTCATTAGTAGATACTGAAGCTGATCAAATTTTCTTGTTTTCATTCTTTGCTTCTATGTTATATCAGATTTTTGGATCTATGAGTTAAAGAGTAATAGAGATTAGAGTTGGGGTTTAATTTTGATTTTGGGAGTAGTAGATGATGAAGATGAGGAGATATAGCAGGTACTTAAGACCAGTTTGTTTATCCATGGAATGTTTCTTGGTGCAGCTTTTAACTAACGTTTTGCTATGCCAGAATCTTCCGGATACTCACTCTGAATGACTTTGCAATTCAGCTTAATTCTGATTCAATCATCTTCTACTTCTTCTTTTTTTTATTAAAAATAAAAATCTTCTTTCACTCCAATAATGTTTCTCTTTGTTTGTGAGGTTCAGGTTTGGTTTTTTGGGTGTTTTTATTAGCATAAAGATGAATGCTCTTACTGCAACTTTGTTGAGCAGATAGTGGTTGCTGGTTTGTGTGACTGATTAGATTGGAGTTTATATACCGTCGAAGATCAGCTAGTGATTTTTGTTCATTAGGTGACTATCAAATCTGAACTATCAAATATGAACTATATCTGAACTATTTGACCCAAAAAAAACTATATTTGATAGAGGAATCGACCGAAGTTGCATCTTCATGTTAATAGTGAATCTTTGTGTCACAAAATTTTAAAAGTTCTTCTGCAAACTGATGTTACCGAAGCTATTGAAAATGAAACCGGCTCTTGTATTCCATTGGGTGATTTATCGACAACTAATGATATCAGCTTTTCTTTTTAATACCAGTTTTACAATGCGAATAGAGATTACACGTTTGAATGTGAATAGAATGATTCCAAGATTACAATGCAAATAGAATGATTCCAAGAAACAAATAATTTTGAGCATACTTCCACATGTTGGCTATAACTTGAAACTTAACAACCAGAAAAATACACGTTTGGTCTGATGACAAAAAAAAAAAAAAGAAAAAAATACACGTTTGGTCGGCCAGAAGAAATCAAGTGTTAAAAGGCTTTTTAGTAAGCCCATATTGAGAAAATTCAAACTTGGGTTGACCCGGGTTTAAGAACTGGATCACGAGTCGGGTCAGCAATCCCGTGTCATTTGACTCTCTTTCCCTCGTTTCTTTGTCAGGTCTCCTTTCTATTCGTCTTTCCATCGCCGATAAATTCGCCGTTAGCCATCGGAAAACGCAGCGGAGGAGCTAAGTTAATTCTCTATTCTCTGCGTCACGCCGGTGTGGAAGCGAATTTGATATTAACCTGATCTGTATCATGGACGAAGAGGCAGCGAAACCTAGAGACTCCACCGCGAATCAGCAACAGCATCAATACTATTACGGAACGTTCCAAGGCGTTGCTAATTACCCTACTCCGTCTCCGCCACCGCAATTTCTATCTCCGGTACAGCAACCGCAGCATCAGATCGCTACGTTTCCAGGACATGCTTATCAAAATCTCCATGGTTTTTAAAAATCTCTCTCGTTTGATTTTGGATCATTTCTGTATGCTTTTTCTTTTTAGGGTTTTGTTGATAATGTGATCGTTTCGTGTTTGAAAATGATTAGGTCCTCCTGGTGGTGGTTTTGTGAATTATGCTCAAGGATTCCCAGTTGTTCCTGGTAAATTCCATGTCCTTATCCTCAATTTTGGAGAATTCTTTTGTTTCTTACAGATTGTTTTGTATAATTTGATTGCATTACGATCACTTAATGAGGATTGAGTATATACAGGTTTAATGTTAGAGAATTGATTCTGGAATTTGTTGTTTTAGATTATACAGTGGTTGAGGTGAGACCGATGATGAGAGAGCATGACCTTCCATGCTGTGGCTTGGGCATGGGATGGTTTCTGTAAGTTCCTACTTAAGTAACTTTTTCATTTTGGCAGCTTTATACATAGTCTTGCAGTTCGAATTCCCGCCAAGTTCATTTGGTTATGTTTGTTTGTTTCCATGTATAAGATCAAAATCACAATAGCTTAGGTTTATGGTGTTAGGAAACTGGGTTTATGGTCTGTAGGTTTTGGAAAGCTATCAAATATGAAGTGTTTTTGACAGTATTAAGTCACAGTTCGTTGTGGAACTAGCACTAGATTCTATAACAGGTTTTCTTTATTTTGATCCCGTCTTTAATTGATTTGATTGCATATCTCTTTTACGGAACCTTTTGAACTCATTGGGGATATTTATCTTTTTGAAAAACTTCTTTTTGCTTGTCTCTCTCCACTAATGTAAAGATTTACAAGAGTATAAAGATAGCTAACATTTGATAGATTGATGTGTTCCTCATTCAATCTGGATATACTTTGATGAACTCCTACTGACACGAAGATACAGAGCACCCTGACTTATATGATTCTATTCATCTATTGTTTCACACTAACAAAAGGATACATCTTCTGATTTGAAACTCGTTCTAGTTACTAATTTGAATTGGTCTTTGCTAGGTTTATCATAGGCTTCTTGTTCGGTGGGATTCCTTGGTACCTTGGTGCTTTTATTATTCTAGTCACATCTGTTGATCACCGTGAGAAGGCAGGTTACGTTGCCTGTTCAATCGCAGTGAGTTCCTCTCTCTGTCTCTTTCATAACATTGTCGTAGAACCACAACCTTGGTCACTCATCTATGTTTCATCATAGTGCCTCGTACATCTGATTTTTTTTCTCTGAAATCTTCCAGTCCGTTGTCTATATGATTGCCGTCATGCTAGGGATGACTGGAGATGTTAACATCTGGTGAAATCTACTCTCCAAAAGAGAACTCAATCCTGTATACATATATCTATCTACATATATACACGAAAATGTAGAAGGAAACAATTTGGAACGTTGTGATGAACATATTGATCAAAACATGTATATGTTGTTGATTCCCTTGGTGGCATCTTCATGTAATATTATTTTCTGGTTTGCTTTTTTTTTTTTTTTTCATCAAAAAGATAAATATTTTCTGGTTTGCTTTGACGATTGCTACAATGTAAAAATTCCCATGTAATATCATTTCTTTTTTAACTCAACAAAATTTTCCTACAGATCGATTAAAAAAAAATAACCTTCTTATAGATAGCTTTAAATTGCTAAGTTTTCAACTTTCAAGTCTTTTTAATCCACTGAATAACAACACCAGATTAAATCGGAATTCAGTAAAACTGATGATGAATCAAAAAATTCGAGAAGTATTTAGCCATGGGTTGTGAATTTAGAAAGCCCAATGGGCTTTAAAATCTGGTACGAAAGCTTGAGATTAGGGTTTTTAATTCTCAAATCTCTAAAATTAGGTCATATATATAAAAGCTGCAAGAAGAGTGTTTTGCGTCTTTTGGAGGATTCAATCATCGGCGGAGACGAAAATGGGCGTTTTCAGGGTAACACATCGTTAACTTTGGCCATAGTTGTTGCTCTTTAGTAGATTTGGTATTGTAGATTCTGAAAATCTGATCGGAAATTTTCGTATTGCAGCTTCACCAGTACCAGGTTGTAGGAAGAGCTCTCCCGACGGAGAAGGATGAGCATCCTAAGATTTACAGGATGAAGCTCTGGGCTACCAACGAGGTTCTTGCCAAATCCAAGTTCTGGTTAGTATGCTTTGATATATCAATTATAAATTCTCAATTATTGTCATGATTGAGAATCGTTAATTGAAGAATGGTTTGTTTATGTGTTTGCTGGATTCAGGTACTTCTTGAGGAGGCAAAAGAAGGTGAAGAAGAGTAATGGACAGATGCTTGCCATCAACGAGGTTTGCTCTATTCTCTTGTTTTTGAATAATGTTCATTTTTGTGTTAGGATTTGTATTGATTTTGTGTTCACTGCGGTTTCTATTTGATAGATTCTCATAATCATTGAACATTTGTTGATATTTGTTCTTTAGTTTAATTTGAATTGATTTTGTGTTCACTCATGTTTTGTTTAATCAACTGATCCCATTGTGTTGTGTTTATATCTTCATCCGAAATCATCATGAAATCATATGAAGTATGTTTTATTGTGATGGTGTAAAAATGTAGTTCGAAGTCCTTTCTCTATGTTGACAGTTGTTTCCTTTTAGGGTGTTTGTTTGTTAGGTTGTCTTCTTCATTTGTTTCTTTGTTATGATTTTTATCTGCTCTCTTCTTCATTTTTGTTCCTTGTGTGTTGCTGATTCATTTGACTCACTAATTGTTTTGACAGATTTTTGAGAAGAGCCCAACAAAGATCAAGAATTACGGAATCTGGCTGAGATACCAGAGTCGTACTGGTTACCATAACATGTACAAAGAGTTCCGTGACACCACTTTGAATGGAGCAGTGGAGCAAATGTACACCGAGATGGCATCAAGACACAGAGTCAGGTTCCCATGCATTCAGATCATCAAGACAGCTACAGTCCCAGCCAACCTCTGCAAGAGAGAGAGCACGAAACAGTTTCACAACAGCAAGATCAAGTTCCCGTTGGTCTTCAGGAAGGTTAGACCTCCCACCAGAAAGCTCAAGACCACCTACAAGGCCAACAAGCCCAATTTGTTCATGTAGAAGCTCTCTCTCTCTCTTTCTTTTTTTTATCATCAGGTAATTGACTTCTTATACTTTTTGAGGGATCAAAGTTGCTGGTTTTGTCTTTCCTAAGGTTTTGAGGGTAGAATCTTGCAGTGCTATGATTCAGTCTCTTGGTTTTGATTCTGGATATTCTTATTTATCTTTATTAGTGGCACTCTTCAGAATTCAAATTTTCTTATTCTTATAACATTTAGGTTTCCCAATCTTATGCATGGATGGATCTTCGATTTTTTAAAATGTATAGTTTTAGATTTTTTTGACGTTTTCTTTTAATCCGATCATATTAGTATGAAAACTGAAGTACTGTAACTTGTTATCAGAATTACGTACGCTATTAAATCATTGTTATATAATTATTAGTATTAGATAAAAGAAGAACCTAGACAAAGTTTAGACGATTCAACATTAGTTGAGGTGACAAATAAAGAGCACTCTCATAGTCATAGAGTCATATAGAGAGAGTAGCTAAACGCATTTCCAAGCTTCATGGGACTAAAGTCTTGCGAACATTGGCTATAGTTTCAAAGTGTATGTATAACTAGGTAAATAGTTTAGTGAAAAAACAAAAATCAATATATTATAGATATACTAAAGAAGTTGATAATATTTTTTGGGTCGGATAATTGTCTTATGTAATGTTATTGTTGACTAATATACGCACAATAATGTTCAAAATATATTTAAAACACATGGACACAAAATTATGTATTCATGGAGATTTTTGAATCAATTTATAACAAATTATGCTATGCCATATACAGTATTTATATGTAATTTTCAAAATATAATGGACTGGAATATGTGTAAGTAACACTATTGACAAAATCTGTATATATTGATTATATTCAAATGAATGAATGCAAATTAATCAAATGGGCAGGGAAGCTCTTTGAAAGCAAAACATTAGTATGACATTTCCGTTAATTACACTTGATAGTAGGGTTTTTTTTCATTTTTTATCAATTAATATATAAGAGAAGTTGAGAAATTTTTGTATTTTGATTTTGAATGAGATAGTAGAATCCTGGGTTTTTTTTACTAAATTTTTATTTTTAGTATTTTTTTCCATTAGATTGGATATTTTAGAACACATTAATAATTCATACAACTAAAAAAAAAAAGACAAAACAACAACATAGCAAATCATATATTGACAAAGAATAGATCATTTTTCATTTTCCGCATCATCTATTTGTTGCCTCTTTGCATCAAGTTCATCACACATATTCTCGTAGAGCCTTTCAAACTTTTCCAACCATTGTTTCTTCTTTTCTTGATCCTCCACTTCCGTCAGATCCACTTTCCACCATGCATCTTTTGGCAATGGCTCCACAGACGTAGCTGCTGTTATTGTCTTTGCTTCCTCAACACGTGTTTGCTCCACCATGTTGTTGTACAATCTGCAAAGCTCTTGAACATTCTCTTCGTAATGAGCATCAAAGAGCGATTGTTGCAAAGAAGACGATGATGAGGAGGCTTGGCCGTTGAGAAACCGCTCCACAACAGCTTGGAAGGATGGACTACCAAATGTATATGGTTTTCCAGAGCCGCTGTAACCAAGAAATGCAACTTGGGCGCCGCAAAGAACGGAGAGCTCACATAGCTTTGTGTAGATGCCATTTCTACGCTTCGACAAAGTGACCAATCTATCTTTGTCTCTTTCAATTTTTTGTATGTGAATCTTTTGCTTTCCTTTTGTTTTCTTGGAACTCATTTTCGTGGATGGCAAAATATGATTTTGATTACTCAAGAAATAGAAAATGAACAAAAAATCAAAGTAGTACTTTTATATGTTTCTTCTTTTTCTTTTAAATAAAGAATATGTTTTTGTGAGTGCAAGATTTGGTTATATATATACACAAAAAAGTGAGCTGATTAGATTGCATTAAAATAGTCAATTTTTAGTTTTTTGGTATTTAATCAATTCTTATATTAATGTTTTGCAAGTTTAAACTTGTGGCGGTCAAGATTTAGCATAAAATAAAATAAACTTAACACTCTTACCAAAAAGAAAATTGTTTGAACTTTGAACACAATATGATAAAATTAATTAAAATTATCATAGAGTGTTCAAAGTTCAACTAATCGTCAACTATTACGTTTATTATTTAATATTATTAAATATCAGCGGTCATATGTGAAAGTACAATTGTAAAAAACACTAATTGTCATCAAATATACAATATGAGAAGTCAATCAAGAGAATGTTACCAATAAATACCCCAATAACATATTTATCATCAATTTTTACAATTATTTATTTTTAAAACGTTAACATCAAATATGTGTTATGTTAGCATTTTTAGTATATGTTTTTATTTAATCTAAATATCTAATATATGTAGAAAAAATTCCTTAGATACCATTAATTTAGTTTTTTTTCCAAAGATACCACAATTTGTTTTTATTTCCAAAAATACCACAAATGTTTTGTTTTACAAAAAATACCATAAACGTAAAAAAAGTTAATTTTTGAAGGTGTTGATTTTTTTTTAATGTTTGGTTTAACTATTTATATATAGGGTATAGTTTTTAGGGGTATGTTTTAATGTTCAGGATTTAAAAATTACTTTTGAATTTTAAAAATACAAGTTTTAGGTTTGTGGTATTTTTGGTAAAAATGTATTTTATTGTATTTTTAGAAAATAAACTTGTAATGGTATTTTTGGAAAATACATATTTTCATGGTATTCAAGAGTTCTCCTTAAATGTAAGTAAAAAAGTTGTATATAAAAAGAATGAATTGTTATATTAACATTTTTGCAGCACATTTTGAAATAACCATTTGGGTTTAAACTTATTTACAATGGCAAGCCATTGACATTAATTATTTATTTAACTTAAAACTATGAAAGTAATCACATTTTAAAAAATTCCTAAAATCTCTCAATCTCTTCATAATAAATACAAAATATTATTTTCTTATTTTTCAATTTATTTTTCTCAAGTATTTGTTCAATATATTTATACGATCTTATTTGTTTTTTAATTTATTTTATTACATACAACATATGTATAACAAAAATACAAAACTTTTTCGCGTATGTTGCAATTTGAAATTTTTGAAAACGAATGTATATTACAATTTTTTTTTTTTGCATATGCTTACGTCCCATATCGGGTAGGCAATGTTTTTGACCTTGCTATATAGTTTAAATTCTACTTCAAAATTAAACTGAAGTGTTATTGATCTTGCTTTAATTTTAAACGTGGGTTTAATTTTTCGACGAAGGCGACTGTTTACCAAAAACACAGGTCTCTGCAAAGTCGTAAGACCATGTATGGGATTATATGAGAGGAAGAGTTGTAATATGTTTCTAATGGATTGTATGACGGGACGGGTTATAAGACGAGACGGGTTTGAACTGATATTAATAAAAAAAAAAAGAAAATCATTAATCTTCATTTTACTATTTTTAACAACAACAATATAGAACATGTATAATCAAAGTGATTTAGAAAAATTGATATTATATAATCTTAATAATTATTAAATAGACTTCAGTAAAATCTAGAAACTTTAGAAAATATTAATTAAAAATTAAATGTTTGTCCCACAGATTAAAATCTAGTAATGTACAAAGAATGATGCAATAATTAAACATTGCTAGTTTTATCAATTTGTTAAAATGTGACATGACATCATAAATAAAAATCTAACTACATCTTCTTATAACATATAGAATAGCTCATTTTACATAAAGCAGTCATTCTACTATTTTCACACAAATAAGAAACAGAGGTTAGATTAATACTATTCTGCTCTTTATTAATACACAAAGTAAGTTTCTTTCTCTGATAAACAAGCTGAAATAACTAAGATTTAGTATATAAAAAAAAAGAGTCTGCAACCGCCTCTGGGTTCTCAGCCTATACCAAGGCACCAAAGCTAACTCAAGTAGGGGTTGGTCCAAGCGGTCCAAAATCTTGAAATGGCCAAACCTACACTTAATTTTACATACCAAACATTAGCCAAAACAAATGCAAATAACGCATTTGAAAAACCATAAGCCTGCTCAAAAATTTGTATCGATTAAAAGTTATAATGTTAATGACAAAAAAGCTTATACCCTCCAAAGCACTCTGCCTTGAATAAGACCGTAAGGTACAGGACCAAAGGTTCTTGAGTCTCTTGAGTTATGAGTATAGTCACCTTGAACGAAGACATGTCCTTTAGGAACCTAAAACCAAAAGAACATCCATCCAAAGATCAATTCGCAATAAATCTCTATGGATTCTCGAACATACTAACATCTCTCTTTGCCAACAACCAATAGCATTAACATTCCTAACGAATAAAAAGTTTCCAAGAACTGCAACAGCTAAAACTGAGGTCAATACTGATAAACACCAACGCTAGTGAAAAAGAAACAACTAACTCTCTGATCACTCAATTTCCCAACAATGTATCCAATTTCTTCAAACTCAGTACTACTACTCTCAATAGAACATTCATATCTGATCCATAAGCAAGAACAAAGTGAAGCGAAATAAACAAGAAAAGTTAAATAACAAAACATACCACAATGGTTTGAGATTTATCGTTCTTCACAGGATCAACCACAAAGCTTATACAATCTCCTTCGATACCAATAACTCTTTTGATTGGAGTCTTTTTAGGGTTTTCTGGAGATCGTATTACAACTATATCTCCACGACTTGGTTTCTGATACCGCTTCGAGATTCGCTCTGCTAATAAGACATTCCCCGAAGGATGAAGCGTCGGAATCATGCTTGGCCCATAAGCCTGCTCAAAAAGAGAAGATCTTTATATCGAAATCAACACCGAGATGAGTTAGATTAACGAAGAAAGAAGGAAGCTTTTGTGCACTCACATAAGCCATGAATCCAAGATAGTTGGTAGTTACATGAAGGAAGCAGTAGAGTTTCGTAAGAAACAAACCGCTATTCAGGGCTTGTCGAGAAGCTATGCTCCAGAATGACGACGCCATTTTCTCGATTTCTTCAACTAAATCGAAAGAATCGAGATTTGAGAACCAGGGTAGTCTCAATTCATCACTTAACCTTATCTAATCTCACTCAAACTCAAAAAAGCCCGCAACTTTGTATTTCTAAATTTCACGAAAGTCTAAAATTTTGAGACGTATCACTGAACTTTTGCCAAATGGTGAGACGTATCACTAAATTAAAGACACACCTCTATCTTTTCCAGAGCTATTTCTAGTTTCTCAGAAGATCAAGCTTCGCCTCTACCCAGCTGATTGCACTTTTCGAACAATTCCTTATAACTCCTGTGAGAGGATATACATAGAATAATGTTTTGAATTAGAGACTTGATAAAAGAATAATAGAAGAACCTGAAGAGTTAAGAAACACAATGTACAATCCCCGTTTCCTCAACTTCTTCACCATTTTCTACTTGCTTAGGACTATGAACAAAACTCACAGCACAAGATTCAAACCCACAAAAATCAATGCCCTAAAGTAAAAATAAAAAATTGGTAACATCCATTGAATGTTTTACTGTAAACTAGATAACACTTAGAACATAGCAATGCATCCAACTTTAAAGCTTAAAAGCATGGTTCGATCTCAGAATCACAGATCACAATATAAAGCATAAAGCATGGTTCACAACAGAGAAGAAAAGCTACACAAATCCAAATCCAAATAAAACAAAACCGAACCTGGATTTATCGACAGTGACGGTGATGACGGCGGACGAAGGAGTGATTTTTCTCCAAAACTCTTAATCATCCATCGTTCCTCTCTTTGAATTTCAAAGCTTTTTTAGGGATTGACTGATGAAGAAAATGGAAGGAATCGAAGATTATTGTTGTTATACCGTATAATCATTATTGTTAACCGAGTTAAATTTTTCATTAGAATTTGGAATTTTGTAGTTATAAAACCCGGCTTATGGTACAAAACGTGAGTCCTGTTTTTAAAGTGATGGCCTTTATAACAACGTTTACAATGTTCTTAATTCTTTATCAGAAGACCAAATGCTTAAAACAAGAGGCAAATACGATGATACAAAGCAAATAACTAATAGAGTAACAGGAATAGTTCATAGACACAAAGTCATAAATGATTACATTAAAAGTTGAAACAGTACAAAAAGCTCAAATCCAATCCACAAGTACTTCAAATGGAAGCAATAACACACAATATGGAAAATGTAAAGAGAGAGAGAGATTCAACGTCAAGTAGATCCAATCCTGCAAAGGGAAGAGAGGAGAGGGGGAGGAATAAAGAGAGAGAGAGAGGTCCAGATAGCGCTGGACAAGATTCATATCTCCCAAGAAACAATATGCAGTGGAAGAACGGATATTGGTAGCATTCAAGATTGGTTTGAGAAATGTCCAACGCCGAGTTTCTGAGCTTCGATTTTAAGTGACTTGAGGTACTGAACAGCTTCATCAAGAACGCAAGCTGTATTCATCTGTTCTCCTCCCGGGACAATTCTCCTCAACACTCCCATCATTTTCTTCATCTTTTTCCGTCCTTTTTTCCCATCGTTGGTACTACTAGCGCTGCCCGATAAACTCTGCTTCCTTGAGTTGTTGTTGTTGTTGTTGTTATACCCATAGCTGGAACAGCAAGATTCAGCTGATGAGCTATTTCCATAATCCCTGTACGAGTTACGACCCGTGCTGACCTCTTCTGAATCGCCACCATCCTCATCTCCTTCATTATCATCTTCTCCGTAATCTTCATCTGCACTCAAGAGAGCATCAATCTCATTTGGATCCTCTTGATGAGAGGTGGAAACTTCTTGGTCATAGTTACCATAACTTCCCCCAGCATACTCGTTCTGATATGTCGAACCTACATACTCGTTCTGATAAGTTGAACCTACATACTCGTTCTGAAAGGTCGAAGCTAATGCGTTCAAAGATGGGGTATTCATGAGCTTATGAGTCAGCTCAGGATGGTACATCACTTGGCTGCGGTCATATGTTTGGTCGAAGATGACAAAGTTCTTTGGACAGACCGCAGTAGGTTGAAGTTCAACACCATGGTATGGCAGCTTTGCGCATGGTGGGAACAAAGCATCAAAGGATGACCCTGATGCATACGGGTTGTGCATATTTCTGTCGCCCACTTCATCTGAGAAGTGAGGAAACTGATTGTTCTGCATCAGAAAGCCCCGTGCAAAGAAACACAAAGAGAAAAAACAAGTTGTACACCTCAAACTGCAAGCTGCTTAGATTTTCTACTACCGATGATTCGCCTTTGTAAGCTTTCCAGCTGCCCTATTACTACTACACTAAGTTGACTGTCAAACCAAATGCTATCTCAAGTTATGGCCATCATACTAAAGATATCACGAATTTCCACCAGAGCCCTTACCCCACACCAGAAGCTCCCCCACAGACAGCTCTTTCAGAAAACCAGACTCTTAATACCTCACAATAATTCTTTCGAAATCAAAAGTAGATAGCCGCCCAAAAACCCCAATTTCCGGAAACTCCAGACGCCAGACTACGTTACAGGCTTAAGCAACTGTCTGAAATATTCAGCCTGCAATGATTTTATAAGAAAGCTTGGATATCAGACACACTATAGTTTATACTCTAACAAAATAAGAATAACATGTGGAACAAACATCTATAATAAGACTATCCATATACCATCAAGAGGATAAAGCTCTTTGAAATAACATAAAGCGGTGTTCCCTAAGCGTTAAAAGAGTTAGGAAATAGAGGAGATGCAAATGAACCTGGCAAACTTGAACGGATTGGTAATTAGCAATGAAACATGTAGTCATCATAAAAGTTCCTATTTCCTTCAATGATCGGTTTCCCTTCTTGATTACAACAATGCACATTCTCACACTAACCAGAGTAAAATAAGCAACAACAACAAAGAGCTATTCCGAATTCCGGAAACAACACCTGCAAAATCAAGAAAAGGACACCAATTGTTTTATACACAAGAAGCTGTAAATAAGTTACATTTGTTTCCACATGGCACCACCAAACCAACGCAAGATATGGAATGAAATTAAAGCATACACACACAGAAGAAGCTCCTCACCTGACAGGATCAAATTTACAGAATAACGAGGAAAAAGACAACCAGACGAGTGCAAGTCCTGTTGAAAAACATGAAGAAGGCTGTCCAGGGCATCTTTGGTTCTTCACTATTAAACTTCAGTTTTTAAGTGTATCTAATAACCCTTTCCTCTTCTCACAACTACACAAACAAACAAAAAATTAGGCCCAAGGCTATATTATACTTCAGTGAATGAAGTTGAAAGGCACTAACTTCGAGGTGGAATCAAAAAAAACAAAACAAAAATATCAGTTGGAAGACAAAACAGAGAAACTACTAAAACATGGGAAATGTCTAATACATGATTCAGAAATTAAAAAGAGTACAACTTTATGCATCTACCGACAATGAACAGAAACACAGAAGCATGACTAAAGACATTAAACATCGGATCCACGATAAAATGTTTTCTCGATACCATAGTGATCACAAAGCAAAAATCATAAAACAACTCTTCTTAGAAAACAGAACACATAGACGAAACAAAAACCTCAACAAAAGAGTTGGACTCGTTAAGTTAAAAGATCGATTATGAATAGTTTAATTCAGAATAATACATAAACAAAGACAGAACAGAACATTCAATTGAAAAAAAATCAAATTTTTAGCAATGATCAGAGGAAACAAACCATAAAAATTAACTTACATAAGTTAGTGATCAAACGAAGAAAAGTTACCATCAAAGTATTAAAAAGAGAAAAGTCAGAAATTGCGGCGGTATAAGGAAGAAGAAGAAGAACAAAACAGCATACCTGTATACAGAAATCAAAAACCCTTTGAAGGATGAAATGAATCGATGAAGGGTAGGAAAAAAACTTAAACTTTCGAAAAGGGTCAGATCAAAATTAGAGGAGAAGGGTTGTTGTTATTTGTGTGCAAGGGGGAGAAGAAGAAGAAGAAGATCTAATAGAGGGGAGGAGAATGATATGTGGCAAAAAAAGAAAGGAGAGAAAGAGAGAGAGAGAGGAGAAATAAGAAGGAGGAAGTGACAGAGAGCGTGGCTTTCTTTTTCTGGTGCGGTTTGTTTGTTTTTGTTTGGTTTAATCACTCACTACTCCTCACACTAGTCTCTCACTCACTTATACTTTGCATTTTTATTTTTATTTTTAAATTTAATTCACGCTTTTCGTGCGTGAATCAATCTATTATTATTATTAACTTGTAGGTGTTTGTGTTTTTTTAATGTGGAGCAAAAAAGATGTTAAACTTTTTAGTGGGGATGTTTTGGAGTTATCAAACCAAATTTTGCACTCTCTCTGATTTTTTATTTGATTCATCCAAGATAGATAAAGAAAATCTTGGACAAAATTCATCTTTCTACGAGTAATTAAAACATTTTTTTCCTTAAAAACAACTCCTATCTTGGAGTAGATGACAACACATTTAAGTGCTTTTTGTTTAAACTACTCCTATCTTGGAGTTTAAAAAAAAATTCCAGATTTTGAGGTTTTTAAATACAAATTTCTTAATGAAAAAAAAAACCCCCGACTTTATAAGTTTTAAAAAATGTTACGGGATGTTTTCTGATTTTATTTATCTATTTACAAAAATCAAACTAGAAAAATTAAAAACCAAAATCTATAATCTAAAAACCATTTAAAAAAATTCAAACATTCATAGCCTTAGTGGTTACTACTATTTAAAATCCAAAATAAATACAATTATTAAGTTATAGAGAAACCATTATACAAATTAGAGAAATAATGTAATGATGGAATACACACTATGATTACAGTGTAAAACTCATGTAAATCACTATGTCAATGGGGTTTTTTTTTTGGAATTATAAAGCATGCAATAAGTTGGTAAACAATACAAGAGATTAGTATTGTGATAAAAGAAATTAAAAAATAAAAATAATGGCGTAATGGAGAGAGAGAGAGAGAGAGAGAGAGAGAGAGAGGGAAGGGAGCACGCGTGAGGACAGAAGAGAGTCAAACACGGTTAGTGTGAGCCGTCCGATGAAACAATTCTCAATGGTTTCCGTTTAATGCGGCCATGATGGTGACCGTAGGATGCTCCCTTAGCACGCGTGAAAAGAGCCCTTTTTCTATTTTCCTTTTTTTTTTTTTTTTTTTTTATCTCTTTTGGTTTTTGGTGTGTGTTTTGTTTTGTGGCCCTTCCACCCAAAAGTCTCCTTTGACAACTTCTCTCTTTGTTTTTAGACGACACTCTCTCTTCTCTATGGGTCTCTTGTCCCAACCCCATACTTCCCAAATGAAATTACTTATTAATTCCCAAACCAAAAACTCATCATTCTTGTCTCCCTCTACTACACCCATTGAGCTGTAATTTATGTTTGCCATGCGTATTCGGATTCTGGTCATCCAGCCACAAAGAACAAAAGTTGTAAGAATATTTGGTGAGTTAAAAACAAAGAAGTAGACATTTGGCTGCAACGAGCCAAGTCATTAGTGACAGTAATATGAATCGTGTGTTGGTTTAACTTAAGTGTCATGATTTGGACAGTATTAGTTTCAAAGGAAACGGTTCGATGCCCATATTGTTTTGAGCTTAAAGCAATACCATATAATTATTATTTCTCCCACTTGGTTTCGTTTTAGTTTTAATATATTTGCTTAATGTTTTTATCTTGATGATGCCTGTTCTTTCTAATTCCATCATTATGTTTCTTTCTGTATTTTAAATTCTTAAGGTTAAAGTTGCATTTAGGAGAATTTCAAGTGGAATTTATTATTATTATACAAGTTTTGCTCATAGATTTTTAAGTGGTGTAACACGAGCTTTATTGTATCATTCATCGAAGAAAGATTTATTTTTGTTGGATGAGCATGTTATTGAAGAATAAGGTGTTACATTTTCATTTTAAATCAATACTTTGTTGGTACGTTTTTGCCATTGTAAGGAATTGTAAAGAAAACTTTAAATGTTTTTGGAAATGATCTTTGGTAATTTGCAAAAGACCCATTTACTCTCATTTAGTGACAAATTCTCCGATAGTGTTGACAAAACGCCTTTAGTTGCAATGCATTGCTGACATAAGCCATTTACTACTAATTTGCAATTTTTGTGTTGATGGGAAGGCCATGTAGTGCTAATTGCTAAGTACTAAAGGAAGGTTAGTGCTGTGACTTGCTTGCTATTGAAGAAGAAGGTGGTCTCGATGTCTAGCTTCTAACTATTATATCACCACGTTACACTGTTGGGGGGGGAAATCATATGCATCATTTAAATATAAAAAAATGCAATCAGAATTATAAATAATGATGTTTTGATAGTTCCGACCACTTGAATGTTCAAAATATACATCACCCAGTTGGATAAAATGATTGATGGGTACGTTGTCATCATCATATCATCCTACACTCTTATTAGAAGTTGGAAGTCCAAGAAAAGAATCTTTTAAATTGGAATCAGTACATCATAAGGTCGAATAAGGAATTATTATGTTTTGACACACCGAACCGAAGCCTAGGTTAGGTACTCGAGTTTACGTTGGTGAACATCTAGATCACAGAGAAGTCTCACATACAAAAACACTGATGCCCATCGATATATCCCTACAGAGATCTAAGGGCATGACCCAAAATCTCAAATTCATGACATGTACGATCTTGGTTTTGAAACACATTCATTATGTCCAAGATCTTGCATATAGTGTTGAGACATTGCAAAGTACAGCGACTGGTCTAATTGCACTTAAATGGTTTGGATGCGTATACTGTATATCATTATGTTTATTGCTTTTGTATTTTAGGATAGCTACGGATCATGTGTTAGCATTTGGACTATAAGATAAAAATTGTTGGAATTCTGTTAAGAGTTAATATTGATATAATAACTTTGGATCATATATTCATAAGAGAACATGTATATATCATCACTTCTTTACCAAGTCCATAACTACATTTACCAATATCGAGTCTCATATCACTTCTTTACCAAGTCCACAACTACACTTACCCTCTTCTATTGTAAATTTGTAATTAATTAAATACAACCCACCAACTTAGTCACATTCATATTTCTAGTGTGTGACTGTGAACATGGGAAAACTTTAGAGAAAAAAAAAACTATTGTTGTCATCTTAAGGATCATAGAAACATTATGATTGCCTCATGAATGCATAACCCAAACTGGAAGCCAAATGAAAGCCCCAAAATGAAAGTTATAACCAATTTTGTTATATAGTAGTCAAACCGTGCCTAATCACACTCATCCATAATCCAACAAACAAACAACGCCGTCAACAAATTAAACCGATCCCAAATATCTATTTTGATCAATATGTACTTTAAAACTTATATTCTACAAATCAACAATTACATCCATCTAATATATCATGATCAACACACAAAGGTTTTACTTTAACTAAGCTTTAATAGCACATCAAATTCACTACTATGTTTTAAAAAGTTATTGGTTAATAATTTGAAATGCTAGTTTTTTTAAAAAGAGTTTCGAGAAAACAGTTGGTTTCAAATATTTTTATTTGTTCGAACTTAAACAATAAGGATTAGAAAAATTAAAGTCGTAAATTCGCCAAAGAGGTTACAAATTCACTTCTTTCCCAATTGATCGAATTACATTAAATTGTTTAAAAGTTAGGGGTTCAAAAAATAACATTTTAAAAGATAAAAGAGTATAATCTGCAATAAACTTGAATTTTGTGACACCAGTTAAACCCAAAAACTCAATGTACTCCTAAAACCCTTCGCCTGTGTTCTCGCGCCGCCTTGGTCTCAAACTTCTCATCTTCTCCTCCATCAGGAGCTTCTTCGAGTTTCAATTCCCAAGTTTCCGTTGTGTTGAGTTCATTCTTGCGACGGAGAAACCCTAATTCCAGCTTTCTCAACCTCAGGAGCAAATCCTAATAACCATGGTTGTGAACGCGAAAGACTCGACGGTTCCTAATATTGAAGACTTCAAGGAGCTTCACAATCTCGTCACGCATCATATAGAGTCTTTCGATTACATGACAGACAAAGGTCTCGAAGTTATGTTCAATCGAATCAAACCCGTTACTGTCTACGATTCAGACTCCGACAACAACTTGAGCAATATCCTTTTTTATTTGATTTAGATATTATTCATTCTTAACATGATGCTTATATAATGTTGAATTTTTGTGTTATCTTAGTTTGTGCTTGTAATAATGTTGAATTTTGTGTGTTCTGTATGATTCCTTGACAAGTATGATACTTTGGTTATCTTGGATTGTGCTTATATAATGTTGAATTTTGTGTGTTCTGTGTGATTCCTTGACAAGTATGATACTTTGGTTAGAGAATCCTGTAGTATTTGCTCCTCAGAAGGAGAGTTTCAGTTCAACATCAAGGAAAGAGCCTTTGTTTCCCTTTGAGGTGAAGTTTTTGTTTTGAACTTGTTTGTGACTTATGTAAAGGTTTATATTTCTGGTGGGGTGTTAATACCTTTTTGTTTCTTTGGTTTCTTGACTAACAGTGTAGGCAGGCGAAGATTTCATACACAGGAACGTTTATGGCTGATGTTTGCTTTAAGTATAATGAGGGAGTTGTTGTGAGAGACAAATTTGATTTTGGCCAATTTCCGATTATGCTGATGGTTGGTGATCTCTTTCTTTGGTTTTTGCTTTTATATTTATTTTTTAATCTATTTCTCCATTCCTGAAGATATAGAGACCAAAGCGAGAGTCAATTCTCTGGCTGAATGCTTTAATTTGTATATTTGGTTCTTATAACTGATAATGGAATGGAACAAAGCGTAGCTTAATGATTTCTCGTAATTACACGATTTTCTCTTCTTTGCTTTGCTTTGCTTATGATTACAAGTCTTTATTTATGAGCTAATGGAAATTGATCTCCGTACTTTATTGCAGTCAAAGCTTTGCAGCTTAAGGGGTGCCGATTGTCGGAAACTTTTAAAGTGCAAAGAGTCAACTTCTGAAATGGGAGGGTAAATGTTCTTACACCTCTCAATTATTCTGATAAAGCCACTGCGAGGCTTGTGGTTTAAATGTCTGTAGATTTTCTCTTATTAAGTATATATCTGTAAAGCATGACAGCTACGTTTATGGCAATGGAAACTGGGGTGG